CCCCACCGCAAGGACCTCTACACACTGATCTCGCCATGCAGGCGGCGTGAAAACGATGAGTTGCAATCAAAAGACTAAGTTGGACCTGTTGAACCTTTTGTTATCCCTGAAATTGTACTGTCCTCATGATGAATTGCTGGGCAACATATGTTTGCCAAATAAACATTCCAAGTTATCTAATTCTGTCTCAGATTATGGACTCCATGGCGAATATAAAACGTTAAGTCAAGAAAAGTCACCTTGTCTCATACTCTGCAACTGCTTATAGGAACTCCCATCTTTTGTGTCCACCAGATGTAGTAATTAAAAAGGCTACGCAGTGGGGTACGCATACTTCCCTCTGTAGGTCGCCCAATGATGTGTACCAGTGTGTGATTAACGCAAGTCGACTTTTACTGTCGAAAATGATGTAACTTCCATGTTTCACAAACTCTACGCGGTCGTTTAGCTCCCCAGCCACCAGCAAACTCCGCGATACCGCTGTTTATAACGGCAGCAAGTCTGCAACTATTTGCAAAATCTGCTTTCTAATTTCCACACTTTCCGATTCAACACTTGGGGATCGATCGTTCCTTTTATAGCGGTCGGAATTCAGTCAGCGGCCGACCTAATGAAATGATAATCGAAATTCTGAAATACGCTGTCGATTAGGAAGAAACACGTGAATGGGGTTGCAAAATTTGCTGATTACGACGGGATGTCCGCATTTGAACGCACTTATTTCCACCGTCTGTGAAAACCACGCTTTGCGGCAACGGGCTATTTAAGTAGTATATACCCTTTCTATCGATTTTCCATTGCAGTTAATTATAATTTATGGAAAACTGGCAACGGCATATTCAGACTTGTAAACGGCCAGTAGAAAATTACTTCTTCAAATGTTATGCTCGATAGAATGGTACTTTTATGTTTATAAATGCTGATAATTATGGATTATTAAGACTTGTCGTCCAATTTTAAATAACAACGCATCTGTCCTTTTCTCAGTCATGTTTATAGAGTATAAAACACAATCCACATCCATTGCCAAATTTAGGTGGATGACAGTTCAAATACAATCAAGCGACGGTTGCGCTGTACTATAGCAAAGACCTACAACGCAGCAAATCTCGTCTTCTTAAGTTCTACTAATATTATTTCAGTAAAACGGGCAAAGGCTGCCTTGCCATTGCATGACACCTCATATTTTGTATAAGAATTCACATCTACTTGCGGGTGCAAGTACATTGGGTGTACACAAAGGCAACTGGCAGCCAGGGCCGCTGAGCACTTGCCCAACTGGTTTTTCAAACAAGAAAATAGAGTGCCACGGTCCTCTATTACCGAACATCTACTAGACAGCGATCATTCTGTAGACGTCAAAACAGCGTTTTGCGTACTTTTTCGGGCCCAAACAAATCTAAACCAGCGCCATTTGTATGTCACTTACATACGGCGGGAGAAACCCGACCTATGCAAGCAGCTTGACCATGTGGTCCACCTCCAATTACCCTGGTATTTGTGGACTTAGTTTTAGTCCCCAAGTGATTTTC